TGGCAATTGATCAACTTAGCTATCAACCTTAAGCCTAGGCACATTTCTAAGCAAGCTCTATGTCTAGATGGATGCTCATTTACTAACTCAACTCAATCATCAAATGTCTTTGGTTGAATGTTGAAACAATAATCTTTAAGAACTAGTCAATGGCTATCTTAACACCCTTAACAACAAATTTCTTTGGTAAAGTGTATTAAGAGCTTAGGAGAGTTGACTCAGGTATTTCATCAAACACCTTGTGAGGTGTGAAATAGCTAAAGATCAACCTTTGAGAGGCCAACTCAAAAGATGCATTAAGGATACTCTACTAGCAAGGAACAAGATAAATCTACACTAAACATCCTTGTTCTAATCTAATCACTCTTAATCTCCCTATCCCATGAATTCAATGATGGATTACTCACTAATCGACATAGTTCCTCTTAAATCCATTCTGGATTCAAGTTTAATCATATAAACTAGTGGAATCAACGATGAAACAAAACAAGAACAATAAGAATGATTCAAAAGATGAACTTTCCAAGAGTTTTTTCTATGTTTTCTCTTCCAAAATCAAGATAGATCTGCCATGGAAGCTTACAGAATACTTAACTTAGGTTTTCCAGATGTCAAAACATAAAACAAATGACCAAAAGGTCCCAAAATAAAGCAAGATTTTTGTACACAAACGACACGCAGCGACCTGGCCGCGTCGCTCCCAAAGGTCGCTCCAGGCGCTGGAGCGGCTTGGCCAGGTCGCTTCCAGACCTCGCTCCCAAGCCTCCTCTTGCGTGAAAACACGAAACGGCTCCTTTGTGTTGCTCCCCATGTCGCTCTGAGTGCTGGAGCGACCTTCAGGTGTCGCTGCGAGAGGTCGCTCCGAGTTGGGGCTGGAGCGACTTTGTGGAGCGGCCTTCGTGTGTCGTTCTGATGTGGAGCGACCACAGAGACTCGCTCCAGCACCTTGCTCCGGCCTCTGTTCGAGCAATATTCATCCCAAACTCCTCTTTTGGACCTCAAATCCACTTAATCACCTCCAAGAACTTCAAGGATACTTCATTACCTGAAAAGAACTTATGCATGCAGAATGCAAGCTGGAAACGGTTAAATCCTAGTCTAAATGATTAGAATACACATGCATGAATGGATAAAACAATGGAAATATGCAAGACATCAGGAGCACACATTACAAAATGAAAAACGAGACACAAACCAAACCAAATTTTTTTTTTCAAAAGCAAACCACCACCCAAAACTTGATACTTAAATCATACAAACTGGACTATGACTCCAAATTAAGGAACGACCCGACTCTTTTCTTCTTTTTTTCCTTTTATTAAATAAGCGCAGGCAGCTTCTCGGTGGAACTCACTGCTTCTTACACTCAGGTGGTCTCTTACCTTGTTGATCTTCAGCAAGCTGACTTCTTCCAGACTTTTGTTCACGGAAAAACAAACAAAAAAGGCTCAGGTTAGCAACATTCCTCACATATCAACAGCAGAAAGATCCTACGGTTCTTGACTGGGTGATTGATTTCAAACCTTGTGTCCAGCTGATGACTGCAACAAATAAAAAAAGAGAAACCACCAAAATCAGCTACCAAGGTTTAGTTTTATAATAAAAACAGAAAGCAAATCGTTTAACCATACAGTACCTTCTTTCTGCTCTTCTTTCCTTCTTCTTCTTCCTCGTCTTCATCATCATCATCTTCGTCCTCCTCATCATCTTCCTCGTCCTCTTTGTAAGGAATTCTCGATCGTTTGATTGCTTAACTAAATAACACATAGAATTTGATCACCGAGTTCCCGGCCTCTAGCACGGTACGTCTCGGGTGGGAACCGTCTCCCACAACTTCCACTATCAATCAAAGGGTTTTACACAAATGCTCTAAGCGCTCTACACAACAAAGAAACTCTATCCCTTAGAGACATGACTCGA